GAGAGAGAGAGAGAGAGAGAGAGAGAGAGAGAGAGGGAGAGGGTGTAAAGTACAGCATAGGGAATACAGTCAATGGTATTGTAATAGCTGTACAATGTCAGAGGGGTAGTAGACTTGGGAGGGGGTATCACTTTGTGAGGGGTGTAAATGTCTACTCATTATGTTTTGTTCACCCGATCTAACAAAAAATAAAAGAATGTTTCTAGTGACAACATTCACGAAGGAAAAAAAAATTTAGTAGTTCAGATATTTTTCAGATAGAAAAACTATTATTGGTAAGGAAAATATTGTCCAAATGTGAATTGTAAAGTTTGGGAAAACCTATCAAGATTCTTTCACAAATGAACTGTAACATCTGAGAGAATTTCTAGTTTTCTTATGTAATAGCAACTCTTAAAAATCCTTTGAAATGCTGCCACTCACTCTTCATTTTCTCATAATTACTGTCAATGTCCTAGTTATAATGGTATAAATGAGTGTTATGTTATCTTTGTCCTTATCTATATTTCATGTCTTAATAACAAAAATTTGTTCTAATATTTTCCAATGTGTCCAAAAAATTCACTTCTCTTCATTAGTTGGGTTATCATACCAGGACCTATTTTCTTAAATTGATGTATAGCTGACATACAATATTAAATTAGTTTCGGGAGCACAACATAGTGATTTGACATTTATATAACTTACAGAGTGATCACCACCATAAGTCTAGAACCCATCTGTCCCCAGAGTCATTATGATATTATTGACTATATTCCCTAAGCTGTACATGACATGATCGTGACTTATTTTACAGCTGGAAATTTGTACCTCTTATCCCCTCTCCCCTCTGGCAACCATCCGTTTGTCCTCTGTATGCATGAGTCTGTTTCTGTTTCTGTTTTGTTTTCTTGCTTTGTTTTTCTAGAGTCCACATGTAAATGCGATCGTATGGTACAGGCATTCGTCGTTTCATTGTGCTTTGCTCTACTGCACGTCATAATTGCGTGTTCTACAAATTACAGTAAAGACCTTCCACCAGCGAAAAGATTGCAATTCATTTCACTGTGGCGGCTGAGAACACCCAGCCCACAGTGTCCCGGAGGTATGTTGGTATTTGTCTTTCCCTGTCTGAGTTATTTCACTGAGCATGATACCCTCTAAGTCCACCCATGTTGGCACAAATGGCAAGGTTTCCTTCTGTTTTATGGCTGAGTAATACTTGATTTGCGTGTGTGTGTGTACCACATCTTCTTTATCCATTCATCTATTAGTGGACACCGAGGTTGTTTTCATATCTTGGCTGTTGCAAATAATGCTTCAATTGACATATGGGTGCATGATCTTTTGGAATCACTGTTTTCACTTTCTTTGAATAAATATCCAGAAGTGGGATTGCTGGGTCACATGGTAGTTCTATGTTTAATTTTTTGAGGAACCTCCATACTGTCTTCCATAGTGGCTGCACCAATTTGCAATCCCACCAACAGTGCACCAGGTTTCCCTTTTCTCCACAGCCTCTCCAGGACTTCTTTGTTGATTTATTCGTGATGCCATTCTGACTGGTGTGAGGTGACATCTCATTGTGGTTTTGATTTGCATTTCCCTGGTGATTAGTGATGTTGAGCATCTTGTCGCATGTCTGTCGACCATCTGTAGGTCCTCCCTGGGAATGTCTTAGACAGCAGTCTTCAGAGTCATTTTTGTGTGTGTGAAAACAAGGGACTTTCCCTCTTTTTCAATCTCCAAAGTTTAGGTTTTCTTGTCTAAATAGCCCAGATATCCCCTTATTTTCCTTTTAGACTCTGCATTGTATTCTTAGGGACTGAGTGACTTACATCTCAGACCCTGAAAATTAATGAAAGACCTTGGATAATACAAGATCAATGCGAATAATAGGGGATTGGAAGGCGCTTTTTCCTAGGTCAGAGCAGGTCGCATGCCAAGAAAGATTTATGCTGATTTAGCCGGTGAGGAAAAATTGAGGGTTAGGTTTTCAATTTGAGAAGTAAAATGGAGCCTGGGGAATTGAATCGGCCATTCTCCGTGCGCTTCGCTAGTTACCAGCAATCTCCCGAACTGTCTGCTAGGTGGAAATATGTAGAGTGAGTAAATCTTGATAATTCCCAATTCACCCAATTGGATTATCTCCTTGTCTGAATGCAAACTGACAGGTGGAAGACACACCTGGAGCGGCAGTGGGTTCAGTCAGGGCCCTGCGCCCTCCGCATGGCTCCTTGGACACGTGAATGAGTACAGAGCTGAAGGGCTGGAGGTCTACCTGTGGCCGGGCCTGGCATTGAACTTGGCAAGGCTCTGTGTGGAAGCTTGTCAGTGCAGAGGCATAGAAATCGCCATCTGCTCAAGTCTCACTCTCAGTCCACTGGGGACAATGAGAGGATGCCACTTATGGGGTCCCAGATGGCTCATTCAACAGTCAGGTTTCAGAGAACCTACAGGAGACACGGATCAGATGGACCCTGGGCCCACCAGCACAATTCTCTGGCTTACGAATTCTCATACATGGCCTTTTGCAGCCGTTACCACAAACCAGGTTAGTGCAAAGCTTGACATCAGACCTAAGTCTGAATTTTGTAGTGGTGAGGCCTTAGGCAAGTTACTTAATGTCCACTTAATTTCCTTCTCTAAACTACGGAATATAAGGAAATGTACTCTGTTTTGTATTGTCCTGAGGATTAAGTACGGTAAAGTGGGTGAAAGTGTTCAATACTGGGCCAGGCAGAGATGTTCAGAAAGCTTTTGGTCCTTTGATCTACTCTTTGCATTCATTGGTGGTATGGGGATGTGAGCCCTGACTCCGTCTCTGAGCTGGTTCATGACGATTCCCTATAACTGACTGTAACACTGTGCTGGTGTTCAAATTATTTTGTACTTGCAGATGATGGGAAGACAGGCTTGGTAGGCCCCCATTCACAGTTTTAATTTGAATGCGTTTCCTGAGATGGGGCTAAGAGATGTCGGAGCCTGTCTCGAACCCAGCAATGATGCCGCACTGACTGACACAAGATTAGAACCGTTTACAAAGACAGCATATCAGCAGGTTGTTGCTTGATGGACTGATTCCATGTCATCTGGGCCCTCCTGATCCTTAGCTGCCACACCGTGGGTGTGGGACATGCCAGGTCCATGTCTCCACCCCTCCTACCATTCCCGATGATACAGTTTCTCCTTTATAGTCTTAGTCATTAGAATTCGGTTCATCTAGTTTTCAGGTGGTTCTCAGTAATGGCTGTTCTATAATAGATGTAATTTTGATGTGATTGGGGGGGGCGAGGCAAGTGCAATTTACCTCCTCTGCCATCCTGACTGGAAGCCCACGTTTCTTTTGTTTTAAGCGGGCATATTTGGGGTTATTTTTTACAGAAGCAATAGAAAACTAATACACCATGCTATGAAAAACTGTGCCATGTAATCCACAGGGATAATGGGCAAAGCACTCAAAAACTTGACAGTGTTTCTTATGCAAAAAAACCCCAACAGAATTCTAGGAGAAATGGTAGCAGAGTTTTACATACATGAAATGGTTAACAAATACCTAAATATTACAATAAATAGGGCACTTTATCTTAAAAAGAAACCAGAAGTTTGCTCCTGAAATTAGGCATCATGCATAAACGTGCAAAATTTGTATTATGATCTAAGTGTTCATTCATCAATATGTCAATTGTATTAGAACAAATTTTAAAAAATAGAACATTTTCAGAATAAGTGTCTCTATGTAGGAATACTGGCTGTGAAAACCAGGACAACTTGCTGGGTGGCAGCCCATTCAAAACATAAGTCAGTCTCCTTGACAACGGGCCTATCTGGACTGTTGTATTTATAGGGAGATAATGCCACTCGAACATGGACCTGTGGAGTCACAGGCATCTCAAGAGGTCAGTTGTAAGAGCAGGCTTACTCAGTGTCAACAACAGCAAAATAATCGGTTTGTCTTCCTTTCTCAAAAGGCAGACAGTGGGAAACCAAGCCATCGGGGGGGATCTATCCTTCAATCCTAGCAGACAGTCAGTCTCTCATTTTGCAGTGCCCTGCGTGGTGCAAATCTCTTGGTAAGTGTTTTAGACACAGTCTCACTCTGGTATGTTTCCAGCACTGGGGCCATTAGTGATTCTGTAGCCTTTTTTTTCTGTGCAGACAAGGAAGCTGGTGTTTGGGGGGAAGGACCAGCTGTTGTCCCCACCCAGGTGCAACTACCGAGGGGAAAAAAAAACACCAGAATGTAGTTTAATGGGAACGATACAAGTAATTATCAGCTGAAATTACAAAGCTGAACTGTACTG